CCTGGGAGGCACGGAGTGGCCCCTGCAGAGGGTGCCCTCTGACCTGCCTCCCCCGAGGACACCTCCGGGCCTTGCGGTGACCGGCAGAGGCAGGGCCTGTCACAGCTACTTGGCCACACCCCCAGGGGCTCAGCACACATCACCTGCTGTGTGACCCCGGGCACGGCGCCGCCCTCTCTGTGCCTCATCTAGAAAAGGGGCGGGGCCACTTCCACGGGGTCCGACACACAGCGTGTGCCCGTCCACGGGAGTCTCCTCTGCGGGCTCACTGAGGCCACCAAGCCACAGCCTGCCACGTCAGCGGGAAGCGGTCAGAGGCTCCAGGGACAGCCACGCGGCCACCTGACACCCCGACATTTTTTTTTTTGCTTCTTCCTTATTTATGTGACAGGTCATTTCCTTATAGAAATCACTTAAGTGGGCCTGCCACTTAGAAAACCAGGCTTATCTGCATGCTGTTCTTTGAAGTGATTACAAATTGATGGATAAATTGTGCTGGTAAATTCTAGGTCTAAAAGGTAAAATAACTAATCTACAGTTATTAGGATCCCTCTGCAATTTCACTTCTAAGACTGTCTTAAGTGGGTATTCATATGCTTTATATTAATTTTCATGTATTTATTTGAATATATATCTATAATAATAAAAGCATAATATGCTAATTAGACCAGACAGCCAAACGACCTTCCAGATGACTTTCTGGATGAAGCCAGGGCTGCGAGGGCCGGGGGCCTCTAGTATATATATATATACACACACACTGAGTGGCCAGATTACACACACACACACTGAGTGGCCAGATTATTATGACCACCTGACGTTTGTAGGCAAATTAGCTATAATTATCTGCTGAAGTTGCTAGAGGGCCAGACCATTAGAAATAGGGAAGCAGGTTATTTACCACGACAGTAGAAGTTATTTTTTTTCTGGAGATATGGGTAAACAATGTGATTTCACAGCCTTTGAACGTGGGATATATATACTATATATATATATATATATATATATACACAAAAGATTTTAACCATCTTTCAATGACTAACTCAAATGCTGTTTCCACCATGAAATCTTTAATAAGTTAGATTCAACTAACAAAATTGACAGCTCCAATATATCTCATTGATACTCACCAGGCTTTGTGGCAATCATCACTGTCATCACCACCACCACCACCACCACCATCATTTCAATTGTTTAGTACGTTATAACAAACTCGAAAACATGACTGGGCCAGTAATGCTCTCAACACTTGACCAAAATGGAAAATGAGACCCGGAAGTTAAGTGGCTTGGATTAGGACACACAGCTAGTAAATGTGGGGCACACAGGTTAGTAAATGGGAGAACCTGGCCTTGAGTTCTACTTTAGTGTGCTTTTCACTACATCACATTAATTCTCATGTGAATGGTGGTGATGTACTCAGTTTCCTCATTTCTAAAGTACCCAACCCTCTTCTCTACCTACCTATGTTGATTGTTCATTTCCCCCAGACAGGTTGATGATACAGGGATGTGCAGATAAATAAAAGGCTTCAGCAAACAGCTCACCAAAAAAACCCAAAAAACAGGAGTAAACATCTCTTTTTAAATTTGATTACCTTCAGCCCGGCCAGTGTGGTTCAGTGGTTGAGCTTCGAACTATAGACCAGGAGGTCACAGTTTGATTCCCCGTCAGGGCACGTGCCCGGTTGCGGGCTCCATCCCCAGTGGGGGGCGTGCAGGGGGCAGCCGGTCCGTGATTCTCTCTCATCACGGATGTCTCTCTCTCTCCCTTCCTCTCTGACATCAGTAAAAACATTTTTTAAAAACAGCTCATCCCCTCGATCCCCCAGTGGCACAGGGGCTACTATTGTTCCCATTGCTCAGACCAGGAGAGTGAGGCGCTGAGCAGTGAAGAGCCCGGCTCAGGGTCACACAGCGCCGAGGCAGCAGGCCTCGGGCTTGAACTCAGACCCCGCGGCCTCGAGCGCGGGCTTCCCACGCGGGCTGGGC